AACAGGCCTGACAATGAAGTATGGAACGCCTTCAACCTGTTTCAAATCCCATATATAGCAGCTCTTTTTCTACTTACCGTTTCATTGAAGTGCCCTCCGTGTTACTCACTTTCCCTTTCAAACCATTTCGGTTATTTCCCTACCAGTAATTTTACTTACATTTTGCAATACCTTTCAATGCTTTATATGGTTGTTATGACAATAGTACTGTATTAATTTCCTTTTAAATGCCCTCTTATTCCTATCGTGAACCTCATTTATTTTGGGAACCCTATGTGTGCATACTAGGATAGGATTTTATGAATAATAAAAGCTAGGGTTGCTTTCTGTGAACGTTGTGCTACCTTGTTGAGCTTTACTCTCTTATTCTGTGTTCTCACCGCCGATCAGATAAACTTGATCAACCTCGATCAAGCGATCGGGTACCGGTCGAGCTCGGTCTGTATGCGTAATCGGGGGTGATTGGAGCGGTCCACCTTGTTTGACATAGCTCGAGCTTTCTATCCTCTTTTTTGACATGTCAAAAAAATTCGAGTATCGATCGAGTAGATAAGCAGTCGAGAAGCGATCGTATAGTGATCGAGTAGAAGATCTAGTTGATCGAGAATAAATCGTGTAACGATCTATTTGGTCGGGTTTACATATCTTGCCCGATCTGTACACGATCATCTCGACTTCACGATCACGACTATTCACGACTCGATTACGATCATTACGATCTGGTCGGGTGGAAATCTGGCAACGATCGGGCAGAGGTCCAGTTAGTCTAGTTGAGATCGTGTATGACTCGCGTATAGGTCCGGTTGATCGAGAAGAAGTCGGGATGTTGGTCGGGTTGTCGTTGAGAAGAAGTCGTAGAACATCGTGTAGAGTCGACTTTAGGTCGTGTAGGAGTCGTGAATGTGCATTTAATCCAGCTTGGTCGGGCTTAATCGGGGAATAAATGTGATCGGGACGATCGAGTTTGTCTGATCGGCGGTAAGAACATAGCATAATTTTAGTATTGTAAAATTGCTTTTTGTATCAAACGGATAAGCGCGCAGACAAAAACGTGTTATTTCGCTTAAACCATATTTATAATCCATAACATTCGTACCGATAGGCTGCTGATTCCGTCTGCACCATCTGTTTCCGGCTTTTCTCCTCGAGCAATTTTCTCAACGTATGATTTTCCTTTCACAAGCAGAATATGGGGACATTTTGGGTAATATTTTGCATGCTCTTCCATTGGAACATCGCCTTTTTCCCAGTTCCGTAACCCTCCGCCACAAAAATAACACCTAACGCTGTCACCCACGCCTTATATAAAAATAAAAATAGAAATATGCGAAATAATATGGCTACTAGGAATATTGATCTCGTAGTGAAATATAAACGTATTTAATTTCTGTTTAAGTAAACATTTGTTTTTTTCAGTTATTTAGATACAATGGAAGTTATAAATTTGTAGATAATTACTGCAGAAATTAATATCTTACCAGTGTACACTAAACCTGCTTCGATCATATCTTCCATTTTCACAGGCAGGTATTCTGGCCATGACTCGAAAGACTCCTTTCGTTTTGAAATGACGGCATATTGTGGAAATTTAGGCTTTTCCACATTTATACCCAAAACACTTGGGGGAGGTTTGGATGCATTCTGTTTGGATATGCGTACATCAGAAGTAGCGTCAGACATCTTTACCTTGAATTTATGATAACAATACTGTATTTGCGTTTGTTAGTAAAATATGCGATGGATGATATTTTAACGATAATGCATTTATTTACATCAAGATATTCAAAGAGTATTTATCAATCAATATGTAATTGAAGTTGAGATTTTCCTACAATGTATTGAATATGACTTACTCGTTGGGTAAAAAAGCTGAAATTTATCTTACCTTGAAATATATGGTCCAAGCAGGTTTAATTTTGTATGATTGTGATACTGCGTGTTACAACCTCTTTTATAGGTATTTTTTGGTATTCCATATTTACTATATATAAATGTATGTCAGATCTACTGTTTACTATTATGACGTCAGTTTGTTTACTGTTTACAAAACAATTACACATTTTTTAAATCATGATACAAAGTAAATATAATGTTTGTATGAATTTTCGGTAGATGTAAATCTAAATACATTGCTTAGGTATTGAACGTAAATAAACATGTGTCATTCATTATGAAATGGAATTCATTTTAAATTGTGCTTATTTTTCTTTATTTCATATTATATGTGCAAGATCTAATATGTTACTTGTTATAGATTTGTTTCATATTGTATAGTCAAACAGATAGACCGATAAAATTACTTAAATAGGATAAAGATATCTGATACATGATCAAAATGTGTCAAAGTTAAATATATTAGAAAATTGTGCTCTGTCGATGTTATTGATATGTTAGTTTTTTTAAGGAGAACAGATTTGCCATGCACACTTTCAGTAAATATATCAAACTATTCTTATAATTACATTTTGTTCTGTTATGACTGTTCAATATACATTTATATATAAACTTGGCCGCAGGTAAAACACGCAAAATAAACTGTTAAAGTAATTTGATAAGGAGACATTTATATCTCCTTTTATCTCTATTGCTGCATAAATGTAGGTTACAATATGATATTTAAATGCGCAATGTCTTTATAGAAACCCCAATTTAGTTTTACCTGTTTAGATAATTGTTAAATATATCGTAGTGGTTTTCTATTTTTATTTATATTTTCAAACTATCTACAAATAATAGATAAAAACAAAAATAGATATGCCCAAGAATAGATCTTATGCCAGACTGTGTTTAAGTAACTTTGTTGTTAATACGATCATGTTTTACAAACAAGACGGCCACGAAGACCCAGATATCGCTCACCTGATTATTGAAGCTCTGAATTGATATTCAGATATAATGCCATAAAATTAAAGTGACATCATAACATTCATATGTTCACATAAAATACTGCAAATGTAAATAAGGATTTTTCCATATTGCCTTTTATGCGGTAGGACCTATTTTTGATCCCAGATAACCCAAATTCAAACTTGAGCTAGAAATCATACAAACATCCTTTCTAATCAATTTCCAGTATATTTGGGCTAAACATTTAATATCTAGAGTAATAGCAAAGTTTTCCATTTTCCATTTTTGGTCTGTGTTAACTAGATTTTGAGCATGGATGACCCATGTTCAACATTATGCTAGAAATATCAAAACAACCTTTCTGACAAATGTTCAGGATATTTGGGCTAAAGATATTACTCTAGAATGTAAACAATGTTTTCCATAATTTGGCAGTGTGACCTAGATTTTTATCCCAGATATTCCATATTCAAACAATACCTACATACCATCTAAACAACCCTTTTGACTTATTTCCAGGACATTTGGACCAAAACAGTAGTCCTTTCAGTGTTAACAAGATTCTCCTATATTTAGGCTGTGTGACCTAGTTTTTGACCATAGATAAACTATATTTTAATTTGAGCTAGAAATCATCAAAACGAACTTTGCGCTGATACAATAAATAGCCTCTAAAGTGTTAACAAGTTTTTCCATATTTGGGCTGTTTGACCCACATTTTGACACCAGATGATCTATATTCGACCTTGACTTAGAAATCATCTGATCAACTTTTTTGATCATTTTCCAATTTTCCAGAATAGTTGGGGTGCAAAACAATAGCCTCTAGAGTGTTAACAAGGTTTTCCATATTTGGGCTTTGTAATCTAGTTATTGACCCAAGATGACTAATTTTTAAATTTGTGCTTACTGATTTTAACTGATAACCCATATTCAAACTTGAGCTAGAAATCATACAAACAACCTTTATGATCAAATTACTTAACTGAGACAGTTGCCCCTAGAGTGTTAACAAGGTTTTTCCATTTTTGGATTGTGTGGCTTAGTTTTTGCATACAGATAACCCTTATTTCAACTTTAGTTAGAAATCATCAAAATAATCTTTCTAACCCATTTCCGGGACATTTGGATCAAAACAGTAGCCACTAGAGTGTTTATAAAGTATTTCTAGATTTTGAAACCAATGGCACCACCAAATTTTGATATAAGATGCACACTTTGAACAACTTTGTTATCCGGGAGCTATACATGATATCATTACCAAATATCATTTGAAGCTATAAGCCTTGCATCTATAGTTTTAACTAAATGTACATATTGAAAATTATTGACCACCAGCATGGGGCCAATTTTGACCCCAGGGTTATAATTTGAACAACCTTTGTAGAAGTCTACTACGCAATGTTTCATGACAAATATCTAACTTCTAGCCTTTGTCAGTTCAGAAAAACTATTTACATACTAGGATATAGAGCAAAATATTAACAGAAATATACGAGTATGTAAGCATGAATTTCTTGTTAGTTTTTATTTTAAAACAAAATTACTCAGCTCAATTTTAGTTTTTTATTTTGAGTCGAATCAATGCATTTCATATAGATTCTATAATCACGATCGGTTACTCTGAAGTAAAATTCATTTTTGCAGGAAGACATATTAGGAAGACAAACAAACCGCTGAGGCTGAGAAGTAACAAGCATAAGCTGGAACAGATGTACTTTTTATTTTTTCTGCATCAAAAAGTGCATAACATATTTCACTTATATATGTAATATGAATATCTGCATGAAATATACGATATATTGTAGGTCACCATTATCAGCTTGAGAATTATCAAATTACAGTGTTCGCGTCTGAAACTGGTCGATAAATGTACAATATATGTCCGCACTTATGTAGATAACATGTTCTCTTTAATATAAATTTCTGACTGATTAAAAACATGATGTAGTCTTTCAATGTTTATCTCTTTGACTTGCTATATTTTAGTAATGCCAATTCGTTCATTTTGCTTTAGTCACTGCCCGGTTTTACCAACACGTTCTCCATATTCTGCCGATAGTCTTCTCTACGCTTGACGACATTCGAGAAGTACCAGAATTTTTGGTAACAATGTTTAGATCGTCTAGAGCTACTCAAGTTCTAAAATAAACAGAAACATTTTGTTATTTGATTGGTTTAGGTTAACTTCATATTTAAAATGTTCATAGAACTTGTTCTGGGTACAAATGATATAAATATGTTCTTTTAAACAGCATTTGGTGTAACTAATAGGTCACCATTGTGTTCATTGAACGCCGCCTTCTTGTTGATCTTGTTTATCATATTTTATTATTTGAATAATAATTTTTGTCTCATATCAGCAGTTTTTGTTTTTGTTTTATTTTGTCATGTGCAAGTATTACTGTCTCAAAATTTTCACATAAGAAGTAATTTCTTTCATTTTTCCGAAATTAATTTTAATTATGTATTTGGTACAATAGTTCCGATCTTAGTAATGTTTTTACCGTAAAAAAGCAATATTTCGAGGCAATTGGGTTAAATTTCAAGCTCTATTCAAGTTATAGATTTGAAAATAAGACACAAACACTATTTTATGCCAATTTAAATTGACCAACATTATGCCAGTATGAATTGACAGCATGAAATTACCATGCAATGCCATTCAAATGGATACATCCATTGCAAGGTCACGAACATGTGTCGGGTATTTTGTTTTGAATATTTACAGCAAAGTAATATAAAAAAGCTAAATCCTCAGCATATCGGGTACAAATTTAAAAAGTCGTGTATTTTATTGTTCAGAAAACAGGACACTTCACAAATTCGTGCTTTTCTTAAAAAATCTTAAACTTCCAAAATTGAGATCATCAGTATCTCTAAAAAAAGTCCAAAACGTCATAATTGAAATTTTGCAAACTCAGTTAGATTGGGTCTGTTAATGGACGGAAGTGGTACATACAAGCTATAGCCCATATCCTAAGCACTGCCTTAAACAAGATTTAAACATTTAAAGCGGTATTATGCCGATGCAAGGATATATAGTAAGTAAAGAGGTGAAAGTGATAATAAAAATCTTGAAACAAAGTGATCCCTCGGAAGCATTAATCACAACAAAATTACATGAGAACAGCAGACTCGGTTTGATTGAGAAAGTTTACTTCATTTCATTTCATAAATTAATTCGCATGAACGATAAATAACTAACAGCGCCAGAAAGTTTGTAAATATCCATCAGAAATAACCTATAATGTTCAATTTATGAAAAGAGTTGGCAGTCTTTTATATTTAAGTATATTTATATATTTATTTAAAAGTTTTTAACAATGACCATTATAACAGTCAATCTTTTGAAATATATACTTAGTCGTGTCGACGCAAATTGACATTGGCATAATGAGCATAATGTCATTACTTTAAACATGAAATTTTAAATTTAGAAATATTTGCTGATGTGTTCATATGGTGGTCATTATGAAATCTTCATTGACTCGCATTATTGCATGACAAGACACATATTGTCTTCAAATAAAACGAATCGGCATGCAATGAATGTGTGCTTCTGTTGTAGTACACAGAAGAACTATGACGATAAACTAAGAAAAACCTTACATTACATTTCGTTTCCGTGCTTTAACGTCTGAGAAAAGGGACAAATAGGCGAAATCTCAGCAGCTTCAGTTTGATTGAGCCTGCTTGTCAATTACTTAAGTACATCTTTTACATATATTGTCAAGCAATTAATGATCTAAATCTAATAAGAATAATGCTTCTTTTGCTATGTAAACAGTATAAATGCAACTGAATTTAAAATGTATAAATTCGTGCTTATCAATATGGTTGATGCTTATAAACTGATTAAAGGATTTGGCAGGAGGCATTTATTCTATATGATCCTTGATATAATGTGTTCATTTTTTTTCTGACGCAAGCATTTGTATATACAGTCATTGATTGACTTTCTGTCACTTTCAGAAGCTTTTTTGTAAAATATATATAACTTGAAGCATGAAAAACCTCTTGATAAGCATCAATGAAAAAGAGATTATAGAGATACAAGTATATATAAACAAAGAGATCGTTTTGAAAAGTTCATTGATACTTCTAACCAAATGAAGCAGTTGCGAACGATTATTCAAATGATAGTTCATAGATTAATTTTGGTTTTGGCATGACTTGTAGAATGGTATCTCTTGACAATACAATCAGACGAAGAAAATCATATTGTTTACATGAAAAACTCGGATAAAACATTTTAGCTTACCATCTATGAAAACCCTATTTGTCACAATTTATTTCAGGGAGTACATGTATGTGAAAACTTTTCAGTAGATTTATTTCGCAATGTCACGTTTGCGGACTATGTATGTAATCATTCAAAAAAGCTTTTCTTAGCTTTAAACTATTTTTCTTCTACAGAAAATAGACGTTTATGAAATACTTATTTCATTTCTTAATGTTTTGGAACAAGACATTTATACAGTTTGTGGCGAACAATAAGAAAATCAAAGTCATGTTGTTGAGACATGTGTAAAACGGTATTTCAAGATATCTATTTCCATTTTCATATATCCTTGTTTGGCAGCATTTGATTATCATTTTCTTTTATAATTGCGTTGCAAAAAAAGCGCGTGTGATATAATTTATATCTGGATCATATCCTACAGCATGTATCAATACTTTTTAGTCAAAAACATAATTTTATATCATAAGATTTTATTTTACTGATTCGCTGATTTTGTAGTTTAATAAGTCTGATACATTTTTCAGTGTGGCGGCTGCAAAAGTTGCCATGTACTTCGTCTCAGTATTATAAAATATCATCTTTTGGGACCATACATTACAATACACTGTTTAAGCCGGTGCTAGGTTGTGCGAAAGATATTGTGCCTTTCACTATCTTGTTTGAACAGATTCAATCTATTCGAAACTGCTTTCCAACACTTTTACTATTTTTACTTTTGTAGATTTCAACTCCTACAGGGAATTAAATTCTCATTTACCAATAAAATGTATGTGACTGAGAGCTGAGAGCAAAAACAAATTATCAATTATAATAATAATTCATTAATATTCATTATACTTCAAATGTATGCTTTTTGTATTAAACACGGAGCATACTGTTCATTTACTTATTTACTTGAAGCATGTATACACTAGTCACTGTAGTACATTCAATCATATCTATTAAACACCACATCTAAATCACCAATTTTAATTATATAAATTCTTCATTAAAACGTATGATTGTTTGTATTAGACACGAAGCATACTGTTCATTTACTTATGTACTTGAAACATTCTGTATACATTAGTCACTCCAACCAATTTACGAGTGCATTCAAACATATTTATATAACACATGTAAAACACAAATTACCATTGCCCTCGTTGATGCAGTACGAGGGTGTCAAATGTAAATGCAACACAAACGTCCCAAAAGCATAATTATGCGCTGTGGGAGTATGCGCAAATGTATAAAATACTCAAAACTCTCCTAAATCCTTTCAGAATAATCATGTAGATGATATGACAAGGGAGTACTTTGAAACATAAAACATTGATGACAGTTGTATAAATGATGATATGCTATGAATGTCAGATGATCTATATCGCACATTTTACACATTTGACATTCATCAAACATGATGTAGCTCAAATCTGAAATTGCAAATGATATATTTTTGTTAAGAATGAATTTGTTATCTAAGTATATTATAAAATATATAGTTAAAATTAAGGAAGAAATGAAATGGCATTTCGAAATATCATTTATTTTAAAAACATCATCTCCGAAGCAAAATATAAGCAATATATATAATACAAAAATATATAATAAGAGGTTTGAGGCTATAATGAATGTTAGTTATATATAGCTTGTACATGTATGTTATGTAGTGTCTGTGTTTTATTTCTAGAAATATCTATGTAATAGACTGAAATATCCAAAATAAATGCATTTATATGTTCAAATGGTTTTTAACAATAAAACAAACAAACACATTTTTTCATACTTTTTCACTTTTGAAGAATATCGACAGACATGACAGACAAATGAAGTGGTTGTTTGTATGAAAAATGTCCCTGTTTTAGAGAAATATCTAAAAACTTGGAACACGGTATCAATCTTATCAAGCGTCGCGTAACTCTCGTCACCTGAAGAACACGTTGATTTGTAATGGCAGGTTTTTTAAAATATAATTTTCACCCGATCTAAATAAAACACTTTAAAAAACTGTTACGATACGTGTACTTTACCTTTTTATCTGATTGGAACCAAAATGCAAAAGTGGTACATTCAATAAGTAATATATACAAAAATGTATTAACAAGTTAATAGAATTAGGATTATATTCATACTATTCTATATGGATATAAATACTGTCACGTTTTAACTCACAATTGATAAAATTAATAAAACAAATGACTTTCAATTATTATACCTGCATGGTCCATATCGTGGCCATCGGTCGGTTGCACGGAAATAGTTGTGATCTCCGCTTTGTCTGGTACACACTTATCATGTTCTTCTTCCTCTAGCAAAATTTCACACAAATCTTTTGCTTTGAAGTTATAGTCACCTTTATACACCAATGAATAAATAAATAAATGTATATTTTATAAGTTATGGTTCATGCAAACATTTCATTTATTGATCATTAACAAAAAGATGTTTTTATAATTGGAACATTCGTTTATACATGTCTGATTTGAGTTCAATCGTGCAGAAAGCTATTAGCTTATAAACACACTCTCGACAAATAAACACATACATTTAATGAGATAGTAAATAAAATCAAATTAAATCAAAACACGTCACAACTTAACTACGAAAGGTCATTCGCCACTAAAATTACAGGCCCCATATAGATGTTAAGAGTATGCATTCTTAGACTGTAAAGATACATGTATATGCTTGACAATTAATTACCATTTCTTTGATAGAAAGTATCAATTGCTTTAGATACACTGTCTGTTGAAAAATCCATTTCCAAACAACTTTGAGCCGCAACACTTTCAAGTTGGTTTACTTCTGATGGAAGATCAGATTCTTCAACAATCTGTGAAACAACATCTCTAGACAATGAGTGAAGGGTATAAAATGCTATAAGAAATCAATAACTTTATCACCATTACGTAATAAAGTCCCAATTTTCATCAGGCTGCAGAATATGTTAACACTTTTTATATAATTTGATAAGTTTATTTCAATATTTCATTGGACCAAATGGCCCATGAGGATAAACAGATACATGATACATGACAAGAAAGTGTAAATCATATACATACAATAACATGTGTAAATGGAGAAGGTATACAAAAAATTGTATATCATCAATTAAAATGAACATCAGAACAAAAGGACAATCAAATTTACATAATGTTAAATAAATTACCACTGTCTAGCAAAACTTACAGAGAAGTGAACTTCATACATTGTATTGAATTAATTTGATAAGATACATGTATATAATATAATGCATCATATAAATTTATATTCATATTTGCTTGAGTATGTATATGCTGTTCTTGTCGAATCAAAATACAAGAACAACATAACCATTTGTCGGTAAGTTTAGATATAGAATCAATTTAAAAAATTAAACGAATTTGACAAAAACTCGGATGTATATACTGTATCATATAAAATTTTATTTATACTTGTTCGAGTACGTGTATGTTGTTCTTGCCGAAACAAAACACAAGAACAACATAACTATTAGTCAGTAAATTTAGCTATAGAGAGTGGTTCGATTTAAAAAAGGACGCACAATCTTAAGAATCATTTAGCTATACATTTACAAATATATATCCTTTATATATCTTCTAAACTAAAGCATTCACTTATTGAAAATTATTAAGCATAATAATTTAACTATGCTTTTACATATATATTATTGACATAATTATCCATTTTACAAAAAAATTCACTTATTCAAAACAAAATAAATATAATTAACTTAACAATAATGACTACTAATGATTTGTGTATAATCTTTCTTATCTTAGTGTAAAAGCATTGTTTACAAATTTTCCTAATTTACGTAATGTGCATACATTTTCAGAATTTAATAATTCAATGAATTTTGGCATATTTGGACGTCTCCAGTAATAAGGCGGTATCAGACTTTTCCTTAAATCATTATATACATTGCATTCTAATATGAAATGGTATTCGTCTTCTAAGACATTACATGAAAAACATTTTCTATCATTTAAAGGTGTACTATTTGGTTTAGTCCATCTACCCGATTCTATGTGCAATCTATGAGAAGATTCTCTTAACCTAGTGAGATCACTAAAGTTCATCATTGATTATATTTAGATATGGTTGAAAATTTAAAAAAAGAAATATGTCTATATAATAGAACTTTACTATAGTTATCTAATCTACTTGTCCAGTTTTTGTACAAATTGGTCTTTCAATCGCTGTTTCACGTGTTATAAAAACAGGCCAGTGTTACTAACACTTAGCATGAACCAAGCATCATAAAAACCTAATGTACATAAAAGAATTTTTATACAATCTATACAATCTAAACAAGTCTAAATTCGAACTGAAAAAACCTAATAGGAAACACATGCAATATTACCAAGATCTTTTATTATATATTTTTTTTATATACATGTATATATATATATATATTATGTTTATATATATATATAATTTTAGTTAAGCACATATGCTTCTATAAGTCTTAATCATTTATCATAGATCCTTTCATATGCGAATGTTTATGATGTTTATTTTTGTGCCATCAATAACTTAAACTTAATTATGTTATAGTACCTGTCAGGTATCTAAAGAAAGGTTATCTAGTCAGGAACAATAAAAAGTATCGAATTGAGTTCTTCAGTATCATGTTATATCAACGTCGAGTATATGCGTCCAATTAAAGGGAAGCAAATTCTAATAATTGACGCTTATAAAAATTCTCACGGTTGTTTCCCGATTTTGTGCGTTACCTTCGA